GACTCATCTAGGTCAAGCTACCCGTCCATACCCCATTAATAGTACGGCCAAAGAAAAAACAAAGTCCTAAACTACTCTAAGTGTCTCTCCAACTCTAAACGACACTTAGAACTGGCCCATCCTTAACCTTGTCGTCCATCCTTTGAAAACCGAAACGATTTCCATCGTAGGGGCATGACAACCATGATTGCCCAATCGATCTCCATTACCGTGACCTAACTTAATTGCCTTTGCAAAACACGCGTTAGTCACAGCAATCTTATATTGTCATTAATCACCGAAACCTAATTAGGGGCCTAGATGCTTTCACCCCTGAACCCCTCCTCTCTCTCCATGTGGGAGGGACCCGGGAGCCCGCCCCCACCTTGTTGAGCCCCCGTCGGCCCTAGCTCCCCACTCCCCATCCCCCGGTGCCCAGGCCATGTGTCTATCACTCACCGTGCCCCGTGAAACCCTTGCAACATGAAACACTTGCAACATGGAACACTCGGATGCAATATACGTCTGACACAGATGAAACATACTGTTGCAACTTATGTGTGAAACATATGCAACATCTATATAAAACACTTGCAACATATGTGTGAAACATATGTAACATGCAGATAAAACACTTGCAACATGTGCAACATCCAAATAAACACAATGCAACCGGATTCTATCGAAATAAACACGATGCAACCAGATTCTGCCCCTCACAAAACACAACCTCGCGGTGCGAGACTAGGGGCTCCAGGTCTACGAGTGCCTATCCTAGAGGGGGGAGTATATCGATGCAAATGTCGCGAAAAAAGGCAAGCAGAGTGCTGCTGCTGCCAAAAGCGCAGCGTGAGAGAGAGGCAGGAAGACGACACCCGAGCCCGAAATTGAAACCGAGAGCGGAAACGTGCGGCGATCGGCCAAGGGTCGGTGCCTTGCGTGATGAGATTCTGGAGAAAGTCCGGAGAGAGTTAGTTTCGGGCCGTTATCAGGCCGGGAAAGAGAAGGACGCGAAGTGCCGCCGGAGTGCTTAGGGTCGCTATTCACGTCCCTCGACAGGTTCCACAGGCCGCCATCGTGAGGAGGAAGAGGAGGAGCACACCGCCCCAACTCCATGAACAGTTCACCGGAGCGCCGGACGGCAGTGGCACCAAGCTGAGCCACCCCAATGGCAAGCAAATGGAATCCGCCGCTCACAGAACACGACCTCGTGGTGTGAGAATGGGGGTTGTGGGACTGCCAGTGCCTATCCTGGAGGGGGAGTATATCGATGCAGCCGAGTGCAGAAAGGCAAGCGGAGTGCTGCCTGTGCGGCGAGCGCGTGAGGCACGAGGAAGATGACACCCGAGCCCAAAACTGAAATCAGGAGCGGAAACGTGCGGCGATCGGCCAAGGGTCGGTGCCTTGCGTGATTAGATTCTGGAGAAAGTACGGAGAGAGAGTCCAGGAGACACGGGAATGGACGGACCTTATCGATGGCGTGGAGCCGCGACGCCACGCCGAGGAGGACCGGAGGGACGGCGGCGGGAGGCCAGCATCACCCTCCGCCGCTGCGTGGTTGAGCCGCATTTTAGACTGCATCATGTCGCCCGCCTCCTCCACCATCTCAGATGCTAGTGAGATATTGGTGGTAAAACCCTAGCGCGGGCAACGGCAGTGGCAGCGTGGCGGGGGATTGGGGAGGGAGAAGATCACTGTTCAGGTGTCTACACGGTTCAAGGGCACCTACGCGCCATTATAAAAAGAAATCAAAATTCCGTCCATGCCACTAAGTCCATGCCACTGCAGGGTCTAGGAGTATATCATAATTTTTTCCTTTTCATGTCAATATTATTTGTTTCTTTTGAAATAGCATCTAATACTGAAATAACTATACTGCCCACCACTCAATTGGTGTTCCAAATTTTTTTTGTATGTCCTGTGGTGCCACTATGTCCAAATTGTTGTTGGCCAAAAAATTGGCGCCATAACTTCTTGTTGGTGCAAAACATGCATAAATGTTATAACTCATCTTCCTCCTCCTGATTCACGTTGCTTTTCTGTTTTTCTTCTCTTCTCCTACCTACCTTGAGCAACAACATTGGTCGGATGGTTAGGAGCCTGTTTGGTTTCCCGTCATCGCTCACCATGCCACATTCGCGGCTGCCATGATACATTGGCTAGTGTTTGGATTGTCTATAAGTTAGGGAAGCCCACAGAGACTGTCATGTCCTTTGTGCATTGATTTTCACCACAGGTGTGGCGGCCACTTTCATCGCGACGACACCACAGCTTCAGTGGTGGAGCCACAGCTCGCGTGGCGTGTGGTCGTTGGGCACCAAACAGGCCCTAGTTTGGTACTACCCAACTGTGTGGTGTCGTTGTAAACCAAAACATGGTTGCTACTGTGTGAGTGGGTGTGTTTTCTACAAATGCTCGTACTTCACGGTCAATTGTTCTCCATTCTCTTTTCTCCTTGGTCCCAAACCCTAGCTTTATCACCGTCCTATCCCATCCTACACCACCACCTAGTGTCCATTGAATGATTTGGTTGGCGCTATCTCCTCCTCCGTCGTCATTGGAACTAAGGCTGGGCAAAAATAACCGAGAACCGAGAACCGAACCGAAAGAACCGGAACCGAAAATTTCGGTTAGCTGTTCGGTTCTCAGTTCTTAGGAACCAAATTAACTAATCAAATTTCGGTTCCTGGGCTCGGTTAACCGAAATAACCGAAGGAACCGAAATTCACAAACAAGCCCATAAACCTTACAACCTAGGCCTAATACCAACTTAACCCTAGATATAAAAGGTGGATGACACCCCCTCACAGCCTCACACCCTCACATTTTTTAAAATCTTGGCATTGTGTTTTTTTTAATCTATTTTTCCTATTCTTTTTTTTGCTGCTTGTGTAAATCCTCAGTTAGTTCGGTCGGAACCGGAACCGAACCGAACTAACCGAAACCGATTTTGCTCGGTTCCAAGATTTGTGAAGAACCGATCGATTCCTATTTGTAGAGAACCGAATTTGTGTCATAAACCAAAGAACCGAACCGAAACCGATCGGTTAACCGAACGCCCAGGCCGAATTGGAACTAGGGTTTGTGGTTCTTAGTTCAAAGGTGGAGAGGAAGGGATCGGACCAAGTAAAAGAGAAGGGAGATAGAGAGACGACTACGAGAAGATAAAAGTATTAGAAAAATAGAGTGCCCCTCAAGTTTAGTTTACATTATTATTTGGGGGTGGCTAGCGCCCGGACGTCCAGATGCCCGTGTAGCCCGCCTCAATCCGCTTCGATCCGACTCGCACGCGCACCCCACCCTTGATGTTGTGCCCGTCGCTCCTCGTGTTCGGACAGCCGCGCGACCTGCCCCTGTCCGCCTCGCATGCACACCTTGCCCCCATCACGCGCCCCGCTCCTTCCCTTGAACCCCCCCACCCCTCTCTCTCTCCGCGTGGGAGGGACCCGAGAGCCCGCCCCCAGCTCGTTGTGCCCCCATCTGCCAGCCCTAGCTCACCGTGCACCATCCCGCGGCCCTAGCTCGCAGCTCCCCATCCCCCGGCACCCAAGCTGTGTGCCATCACTCACCATACCCCCCTGAAACACTTGCAGCAACATACGTCTGACACAGATGCAATATCTAGATAAAACACTTGCAACATGTGTGTGAAACATATGCAACATCTAGATAAAACACTTGCAACATGTGTGTGAAACATATACAATATCTAGATAAAACACTTGCTGCAACATACATCTAAAATATTTTGAACTAACGCTTGCAACATACCTTTGAAAACATTTGCAACATCCCCATCTACTTTTGCAACATCTATATATATATGTAACAATTGCAACATACCTCTGAAACATCTGAACACTTGAATCATACATTTGCAACATAGGAGAGGGTAAGGCTGGGGCCGGTCAATTCCGGTCGTCGGGGTGGGCTCCAGCAGTAAGCGGTGGCGCACCACCACCACCAGCAGCAAAAGCACCAGCCTTGGCTCAGCCGGGTGAGTGGCACGGCGCACAGCTGAAGCGAGGAGTGAGGTGCGGGTGGGGCGCGCGACGGGCGGGAGAGGAGCGAGGAGCGCAGCTGGGGCGCACGACGAGCGGGAGCAAGGAGCGAGCGAGCGAGTGGCACATGGTGGGGCACGTGGTGGGAGAATGCCAAAGCAGCAAGCGAAGTGAGACGCAGCGTCCGGATGGGACGGACGCCCATAGCCAAGCATTACCGTTATTATCTACACAGAAATTATCACCACCCTTAGCACCCTCAGGCCTCTTTCACTATCGTTTTTTCCCCATGTATTTAATTCTCTCGTATGTAATCTTAATCATCTGTCAATGTTTTCTTTTACTCTTATTTAATCTTAATCACCGGTTAATCATTTTTCCTCTCATTTTTAATTACAGGGAAACCATTAATTATGGATTAATTTTCATTTTTATCTCATAATAATCTTTGTTCAATTCAAACAACTATATATTACAACTGATATAAATCGTATGCACACCCACTTTAAACTTTGACTTCCACAAAAGAAAACAGAAGAAGTTTTGCCACGTCTTTCACCCATTCCAGAAGAGAATTGAAGAAGCAATTTTGCCTTTTTTAAACGAGTTCAGCACTACCAATGGTCAAAAGCCGAAGTTGTTTTCTAAGGAGCTGGAGCCTCGCTAAATTGGTTTTCCTCTCCTGATGTCGCGGCTTCAAGATTTGTGTGCGGATCGGCGTGGTCCCAACAGCCGGACCGTACGCCGGCGCATTCTACACTACACTGAAAAGATGAACAGAGTTAGTAATGGACTATTTTTGCACCGAACTGTCATGCTCCCACATTAATTAACATTATAACATAATGACATTACACCAGAAGTAAACTAAGGCCGCAGCTGCAGCATACAACTCAAACATTCAATCATCTATTTACAGGCACCGCTTTGCCAGCAGCAGCTCCTCTGTATTTACGGGCACCACTTCTGCCAGCAGCAGCCCAGCCCAACACAGGCTGCACAAACAAACCACCTGCGAGATCAAGCGGCAGGGTCATCTTTGGGAGCCCTGTTGTGCTGCACCAGACGCCACTCCATCTTTATCCTCCCCTGGCCCTGCTGCTGCCGGCCGCCGCTCCTCATCTGGTGCCACCCCTCCTCCTGGTTCCTCTGGATGCCACCGCCGTTCCTCAGCTCGTGTTGCCCCTCGTGCTGCTTCCTCTGATTGCCGCGGCCGAAACAATTCCAATTGCTGCTACTGTCACCACCTCCACCGCCACCATTCCGGTTCCTGCCACTGCCATTGCCATTGCCATTGCCGCCACCGCCACCACCGCCACTGCCAACATTCCAGTTCCTGCCAGTGCCATTGCCTCTGCCACCACCACCATTCCACTTCATGGCACCGCCAGTGAAAGCGCTACTCATCCACATCGTGCCACCGCCGATCAGCATCCTTCCAGTCCCGGATGACGTGTGGCCTGGATCCACCCCCTGCTGGTGCCAATTGCTAGACGATCCACCTCCATGGAAGTTATTGTTACTGTTGTTTGGTCCACCTTCGCCAAAATATTTTGCCCTGAACCTTTCCTTTGCCTCCTCGAAATTCTTGAACGCTTCTGAATCATCCCAGTCCATGACGTTTCTGTATAATCCAATAAATCGCTTGTTTTCGCAGAAGGTCTCCCAGGGAATGTAAATGGCGTTACGGCAGAATTCTCTTTCCCACAATGGGACTGGGCGGACATTGTTTCCTGTGCATATGAAAAAATGGGTATCAGAATTCATGGTAGCAGCATGGCAATGCAGAAAGACAAAAGATTCCCTGATGTATTGCATTCAGCAATCTGGAAGAACATAAATAGAATTGTCTTATAGCTATATTGATTAGTATTCCACCATGCGAATTTGGAAGATACCAGACTGAAATTTTAAAATTAGTTCAGTAAACAAAATAGCCCAGAGATAAAAATTGTTACAATCATCCATGTTTATGACTGCAGCGAATATTTGAACTGATCCATAAAGAAAGATGCATTTAGAAGCTATTATGTGGTCACTCAAGGTGTCGTCTAGACAGATAAGTAGCCAAACAAGCTCTTGTGCTTGTTACATTAATATCTGAGAAAACAAAAAGATGATGTCCTGTCATTATAATTTCATTGGCGGCGCTAGCTTTACATGTTGGCCGTGTGCCGCTCTCTAATTACCAGAAGGGATTGTTGTTTCCAAGATATGCTGACCTCTGCACCAGTAATGCTTGTTTCAGTTGAGAAATGGTGCAGACCATTTTGTTCTAAAAAAATGATAAATAAACAACTACAACAAACTCTTCCAATATTTTAGAAACAAAAGTGGACAATTACACATATTACTGAAATAGCTAATGAAACCCACCCAGGCAGCCATGATGTAAGAAATTAATGGCAATGAGAAGTTTCCAACACTGAAACTGGAAAATCGAAATGCAGTTCAGAGGAAGAAGATCAAGAAAAGAAAAAAAAGGGTATGATGGCAAGAAACAAGCCTAAGGTTATATCTTTCACGTGCTTGCTCTGTTAGAAGAACAATTTCCCACTATGTCGATGTTCTGGTGCTATGATGTTGTGCTGTAACTTTATTTTGGTTCCAACACATAAAGTTGAGTGCCTATCCTAATAGCTCTGAAAAAAATAGATAAAATCATAGTGGGCAAGGAAGATTAGTTTCCTAAAATTTGCACAAATCCTGTGGTTATCCAGAATGATAAGGAAAACCCTAACCTTAAAACCAAAACCATTTCCGTAGAGGGTAAAACTTAACTTATCTATATAACCCAACATCCTAGGATTACTAGCTTCTGAGCCTATAGCTGCAAGGTGCTATGCCCTCTTACAACACTCCAGATTAGGATATAAACTCATCAATTTAATGGATGGTCTTCCACTTACTCTTCGTTCATATGAATGAGGATCAAGGGTGTGCAGGAAACATCACAGTTATACACGTCACGTGCTAAATATGGGGAAACACTCATAATTCTTGACACAAGAGTTTGATCCAGAAATGGCAACATTGCTTCTAAAGGTAAGTATCTACCTCCTACACAAGAGGAATCATCGTGTCGTTCATTTAATGATAATATAATTAGTAAGAAAAAGGTGAAAAATGTGTCTTACAGCATATCATAACTTTGAGGTCATATTGTTGCCTGAAAAAAAAAGGTACAGATACCATGTGTGGGACCAATGGTAGTCAGTAATTCCATTGGCAGTCGTATTCGATATGTCAACGGACATCGGTTACTTATTACTCAGGACAGAACAAGCAACTAGGCGTTACGACAAAGTGCACAACACGACAAAGTATATAAATAAAAGATGGCGCGAAAGGCATGAAGTGAGCCATGGATCCAGAAGATCCCAGCCATTGAATCCATGGCGCGCAACAAGCATTTCAATATTTGAAATTGAACATGGCACATAACGGATACTAGCAGTTCTATGCATCCTCAAAATACTATGCACTGTGCAGAGTTGCAGACAGGACTGTGTCCGAATAGATGATTTGAATCCCCACCTGTACAAGTACAACACTGCTATCTCGCAATTGCAGTGCCCTCCCAATTCCTATTCCCCAAAAAAGAAATGGATATCCCCAATAGATGTGATAATCATGCAAAGATAACATTTCTGGCATCTCATCGTGCAGAGGAAAGAACAGTTCATATACATGAGAAAGCCTACAGCAACAGGCAAGTTTATTTAACCAGTAATAACTCTGATCCTGAGCTTGAATCGGTATCCAAATCATCTGACAAGCAAAGAACAAGGACTAGATCTAGATATCGAGTAAGTTCAAATCCGATCGCAACCCAACAGATTACCGATGATAACACCCAAATCGGAACATCGGGTTCAGAGGGAGATGAATCCGTCCGTACCGTTATCCGGCCGAGGCGGAGGAGGAAGCGAAGTGCCGCCGGAGTTGTCACCGTGGCCATCCACGTCCCTCGACAGGTTCGAGGCCGCCATCGTGAGGAGTAAGAGGAGGAGCACCCCGCCCCAACTCCACGAACAGTTCGCCGGAGCGCTGGGCAGCACCAGACAGAGCCACCCGAATGGCGAGCAACCGGAATCCGCCGCTCAGCGCACACAGAACACAACCTCGCGGTGCGATATTGGGGGCTCCGGGAATGCCAGAGCCTTTCCTGGAGGTGGAGGGTGAGTATATCGGCGCAGGCGAGTGCAGAAAAGGCAAGCGGAGTGGTGCGGTGCCTGCGCGGCGAGCGCGTGAGGCACGAGGAAGACGACAACGAGAGCCCGAAACTGAAACCGGAGCGGAAACGTGCGGCGATCGGCCAAGGGTCGGTCGGTGCCTTGCGAGATGAGATTCCGGAGAAAGTCGAAATCGAGCCAGAGGACGCGGGAACGGACGGACCTGGTCGACGGCGTGGAGCCGAGACGCCCCGCCGAGGAGGGCCCGCGGCGGGAGGCCGGCTTCGCCCTCCGCCGCCGCGTGGTTGAGCCATTTGTGACTGCTTCCTGTCCCCCGCCTCCACCACCATCCTGATCGGGCGCCCGGATGCGAGTGAGAGATTGGCGGTAAAACCCTAGCGCGGGCAGCGGCGGGGCATTGGGCCATTGGGGAGGGAGAAGACGAATAAGTTTATTATAAAATTAGTATTAAATACTTAAATATCCAAATAAGTTTATTATAAAATATATTCTAGGTTTAATATAACGATAAATATTTGGTCAAAGTTAACCAAGTTTGACTCTAGACATATGACACCTATATTTTGGGACAGAGAAAGTATTTTTTTCAAAATACTGTCATATTGAAATATACATGGCCATGTTCGTTTCTCTTATAATCCGTACTTTCTAGTTTGTTTTTTTAGTCGGAACAGTGTTTTTCTCTAACAATAAATTAGTCAAAATAGTGTTTCAGGCTTGTTTTTCCAGCAAAGCGAACGGGGCCAAACTGCCCTCCACTCACTTGGCCTTCTAATTTTTTTACGTGTCCTCTTGTCACTCGGTCTGAATTGGTGTTGGCAACAAAATTTGATGTTGGGACCAAACATGCACGTATATATATAGGCTACAACACTAGTACACACAGGTCCGATTTAATCCCGGTTGGAAACTGGCTTTTAGTCTCGGTTTTTCAACCGGGATTGTGGATCCGGGACTAAAGGCCAGGATCTTTAGCCCCGGGTCACACAACCCGGACTAAAGCCCATCCTCACAACTAATTTTTTTTAAACCAATCGGGATTGCGGATTCGGGACTAAAGGCCGGAATCTTTAGTCCCGGGTCACGCAACCGGGACTAAAGCCTATTCTCAGACCTAATTTTTTTTAAATCCTGGGATACCTCTCTTGCAGTGCGTGAGATTCGGACCAAGATCCCCCTTGGCTCGCGCGTAGCTTCCTTACCAATTCCGCTCTCCTTTTGAATTCATCAGCGGGGGGCCTTTAGTCCTGGGTGGGAGACCTTTATTTCGGGTTGGTATTACCAACCAGAACTAAAAGGTCACACTTTCATCCTAGTTGATGTTACGAACCGAGACTAAAGGTTGGATGACTTTTAGTCCGAGTTGGTAACATCAACTGGGACTAGGCTTTTAGTCCCGGTTGGTGTTACCAACCGGGATAAAAGGGTCTTCGGTGTATGTAAAATTTAGACCCGAGACTAATGCTCACATTAGTCCTGAATCCCAACATAACCAAGAATAAAGGATGCGAACCGAAAGTTATTTCTCTACTAGTGCAACTCATCTTCCTTCTCGTTCACATTGCTCTTCTTGTCTTCCATTTCTCTTCTCTTCTCCAACCCATCATGTCTCAAACTTTCATGATCAAAATTGATAGGTGAGTCAGGTTAGGCTGTATTTGATTTAGCTTCTGGGAAAATGTTTCAGCTGTTAAAAAACTGAAAGCCAACTAAACAGGTACAACCAAGCTGCTTTTCAAAAAAAAACAGCTACTTTTATGGTGTGCTGGGAACCAAAACCCCGCTACTAACTCCTCTGAAGCAAGATTTTCATTCTTTTCGAGGCGAAGGAAGTAGTTCAGTAGACTACTGACAATATTGTTCCAATCCTTTTTTTTCATCTTGATACCGTCTATTTCTTTTAAATAGCATCAGACTGAAAATGGCCATTGCCCTCCACTCAATTGGCCTTTCATTTTTTTATTAAGTCCGCTTTTGGCCCCTCAATTATCATGTCGGTCTAGTTTTGACCCTCAACTACAAAACCGTCTGGTCCAGGCACTAGAACTTTCAAAACCGTTCAGTTTTAGCACCTCGGCGCGATTGAGACGGTTTGCGCTGACGTGTGCCTGGTTTTGACCCGCCACGTTGGCATTGACAGCCATGTAGGACGGCCGCGTGGGTCAAAACAGGAGCCGGCCTGCTCAGCTCTCTCTTTCCCTCTCAGTTCCTCTCCCCCGAACCCTAGCCGCCGTCGCCGCCTCCATCGCCGTAGCCGCTACCGCATCCTCTCCTCCGGTGCCTCCACGTCCGTAGTCTCCCCTCCGCCTGGGAGTCCTCCACCGCCGCCTTCGCAGTCGTATGGGCTTGGAGGATTGAAACGTAGAGGACTAACACGCTCAGGTACGATTGAATCCGTCTGCATTTCTGCATGTAGGGATGGAAGTACTCTTAGGTTAGTTACCTCGGATCTGTAGTCCTAAGACTCTACTATCTGTTGTAGGAATAGACCCTTTGGAATTTCTTGGTGTTCGATTTCACTTTGGTGGCGAGTTTTTCAATGATGGGAAGATGCTTCATTATCTAGGTGGAAATGAGGAGATGTCATTCATCGAGCGTGACAAAATTTCTTTGCCTAAAGTAATTGGACATCTTAAAGACCACTACAATGCTTCAGATCCTGTTCTTCTCCATTGGTTGTTCCCTGGCAAGGATTTACTAAATGGGCTCAGAGTTTTGGTAGATGATAAGGCTTGTTTGGACATGTCTGAATGTGTTACTGATGGAGGGGTTGCAGATGTATTTGTTGAGCTTATTGAAGTGAAAGCTAATGACATGGAGACTGAGGAGGAAGAGGATGGGGAGGACCAGTGTAGTGACTGGGAGGAAGATGCTAAAATGGAGGGTGAAAGAGCAGACAGTGAAAGCATTGGGATGGAAACACCTCATGAAGACAATGTGGTGGTCGAGGATTTGGCTATAATGAACATGTCATCACCAGAACAAGTGAAGATGGACTTAATAGGTGCTACTAAGTATTTGCATTGGGTTAGAGAGAAAGAGGCTCCTGTATAGAAGTTGGTTATGCAAGAAGAAGTGTCTGTTCATGAAGAGGCTCCTGTACAGAAGGAACACAGTTCAGATATGGATGATCCCAGTGACAAGGATTACTTGCCTAGTGATGATGAGAGTAGTGGAGAGGATGAGGAGGTAATCTAGATTAGAGCTGAGCTAAAGGAGTTAAAGAAGAAATTAAAAGCTAGAGGCATGTTGGTGGTTGATGAGGAAAGGCATGAAGTCAATGTGGAATGTGATAATGAAGAGGATGGTTGTGATTCCCATGCTATGGATATTGATGAAGAGGATGATTCATATGATGAAACATCTGATGGAGAGTTGGTTAGGAAGGAGAAGAAATTCTCCAAGTTTGATGCCAATGCTCCAATGCCAGTATTCACTGTTGGGATGTCTTTAAGTGGTAAGTCAACATTCAGGGAGGCTGTCATCAAGTATGGGCTGGCAGAAAGGAAGGTGATTAAGTTTGTGAAGAATGAGAGCACAAAGTGTAGAGCATTTTGTTCATGGCCAAAGTGCCCTTGGGTTTTGCATCTATCAAAGACATCAAGGGCAAGTAGTTGGCTTATAGCCACATGTAAAGATGTGCACACATGCCCACCAAGGAGAGACAACTCTTTAGTGACATCAAGGAGAATAGCAGATAAGTATGAGAAGTTGATATTGGCTAACCCACAGTGGTCAGTTGAGAGTATGAGAGAAACAATTCAGGAGAAAATATTTGCAGATGTCAGTATTTCAAAGATTAAGAGAGCCAAATCAATTGTGATGCAAAGGATGTATGATGCAACCAAGGGGGAGTATGCTCTGGTGTTTGACTACCAGCTTGAACTACTAAGAAGCAATCTTGGGAGTATAATAGTAGTGAAGCTTGACACTGAAGAACTTGAACCCATGTTCATGAGGTTTTATGTCTGCTTTGATGCATGCAAGAAGGGGTTCCTTGCTGGTTGCAGGAAGGTTATTGGACTGGATGGTTGTTTTTTTAAGGGATTAACCAATGGAGAACTACTTTGTGCACTAGGTAGAGATACCAACAATCAAATGTACCCAATAGCATGGGCAGTTGTAGAGAGGGAGACCAAGGAGTCCTGGGACTTTTTCTTATCTTTGCTGAGCACTGACCTACAGTTTGGTGATGGTGATGGCTGGGTATTCATTTCTGATCAACAGAAGGGGCTCATCAATGCTGTAAACAAGTGGGCACCTAAGGTGGAGCATAGGATGTGTGCCAGGCATATCTATGCTAACTGGAGGAAGAAGTTCACTAACAAGAAGTATCAGAAGCTTTTTTGGAGATGTGCAAAGTCTTCATCAATGAATCTATTCAACTATAACATGAACAAGCTAAGGGCAGAGACACCACAAGGGGCTGATGCTATTTTGAGAACTGATCCTGAGCATTGGAGTAGATCATGGTTCAAAATTGGGTCATTCTGTGATTCTGTGGACAATAACATGTGTGAGTGCTTCAACCACTGGATTCTGAAAGCAAGGTTCGTTCCAATCATAAGTATGCTTGAAGGTATAAGGCGCCAAGTTATGGTTAGAATCCATGAGAACAGGAACAAGGCAGAAAGGTGGACAAGTCTCATCTGTCCAAACACCTATAAGAAGCTGATGACATATGTCACAGCTAGTGGGTTCTGCCATGCTATCAGCAATGGCAACAATTGCTATGAAGTAACCTACTGGGATCATAGATTCACTGTGAATTTGGATGAGAGAACTTGCTCCTGTAG